AATGTATATGTATAACGAAATTTTTTTCGATTATCGCATGAAAAGTTTTTAACATACTTACATATATGTATGTATTGAAAATATTGCAAATGAACGTTCTACGTCACAAGACTTTGTTGGACAGAATTTAAAAGATGACAATTCTCCAAGTGAAAATGTTGCAACATTTTATTGAAGTGTTGCCTCACACAAAATATTTTTGTTGCTGATATTGAGAAGTTGCAAGGGTTACAATAGATGCAGAATAAAACTCGTTGCTCAGTTCGCAACACATCTGGAAACTGTTAAACAGCTTTCGCTAAAAAGGAAAAGTTTTTATTGAATTTTTCAACCACCAAAACCAGTTTAGCGCGAAACTTGACTATCGGAAAACGACAGTCGAAAATTATTTACGAGTATATTAAAATTGTTTACTAGAAAATAACGGGACTTTTCATTGTTTGTCAGCCTTTTCTTTGTCAATTAAACAAACCTCGTCAGCGACACTGGCTATCTCCGCAAAGGTATTGTCATATGAAATTATGCGAAAATTAGGTAACTTATTACCAAAGAAATCATTTTTATGCANTTTTGTCAATTAAACAAACCTCGTCCGCGACACTGGCTATCTCCGCAAAGGTATTGTCATATGAAATTATGCGAAAATTAGGTAACTTATTACCAAAGAAATCATTTTTATGCATTTTTATGCATTTTTTCGCCAAAATATGCATTTTGTGTCATAATATGCATTTGCATATGGAATATGCATTTGCATATTTTTAACCGACTTCCAAAAAAGGAGGAGGTTATCAGTTCGTCGGAATCTTTTTTTTTTTTTGTTTTTTTTATTTATGTTACCGCATAACTTTGGACCACGTTAACCGATTTCGATATTTTGCATCGGAAAGATAGTGTCTCAGAGGTGGTCCCATACTAATCTGGTTAAGATCCGATCAGCGGATCATGAGATATATATATATATATTTTTTTTATATGGGAAGTGGGCGTGGTTAAATTCCTATTTCGCCCATTTTCAATACCAACCTACCTTGGATTAAGGAAAACCTACGTACCAAATTTCGTTGAGATATCTAAATTTTTGCTCGAGTTATCGTGTACACGGATGGAGGGACAGACGGACAGACGGACGGACAGACAGACATGGCTTAATCGATTTCTTTTTTCATCCTGATCATT